TAAAAGCACCGCATGAATCGATCTAATTTGCGGTCCAAGAAAAAATAGCAGGAGACTGGAGACGAGCAGAATCTTTTAATACCACAACAGAGCATGACAACGAATACAGTGCATTTGGAAAGTATTCAGACCCCTTGACTTTTTCCACATTTTGTTACGTTATGGCCTTATTCTAAAATGAATTCAATAGTTTTTCTTCAATCTAGACACTACCCCATAATGTCAAAGCAAAAACAGGTTTCTGTTTTTGTCCTTTGGGTGCCTTTTGGCAAACTACAAGTGGGCTGTCATGTGCCTTTTACTGAGGAGTGACTTCCATCTGGCCACTCTACTATAAAGGCCTGATTGGTGGAGTGCTGCAGAGATGGTTGTCGTTCTGGAAGGTTCTCCCATCTCCACAGAGGTACTTTGGAGCTCTGCCAGAGTGACCATCGGGTTCTTGGTCACCTCCCTGACCAAGGCCCTTCTCCCCCGATTGCTCAGTTTGGCCGGGCGGCCAGCTCTACGAAGAGTCTTGGTAGTTCCAAACTTCTTTCAACACAATCCTGTCTCAGACCTCTACGGACAATTCCTTTGACCTCATGGCTTTTTTGCTCTGACATACACTGTCAACATTTTACATTTTATACAGAGTGACTTACAGTTAGTGAGTGCATACATTTTTTTTCTCCCATACTGGCCCCCGTGGGAATCGAACCCACAACCCTGGAGTTGCAAGCGCCATGCTCTACCAACTGAGCAACACGGGGCCGTAATCAACTGTGGGACCTTATATAGACAGGTGTGTGCCTTTCCAAATCATGTCCAATCAATTGAATTTACCACAGGTGGACTCCAACCAAGTTGTAGAAACATCTCACGGATGATTAACAAACTAGGCATGCATAGCTCACTGCATGATCCTCAAACCAAAGACTGGCCAAACTCGTGTTTTGTGAATTCAAAGGCACAATGACTGTTTAGCCTAAAGCATTTCATTATAATTTAATTCTAAGTAATTATTTTTTTAGATTTTGTTTTATACAGTCTAGATCAGGGGTGTCAAACGTCCGGGTTTAATCCGGCCCGCGAGATGATTTTGTAAAGTATAAAAATGCGCTGCAATTTTTCAATAAAATAAACTGCTGTTCCAATTGCGTCCACTGGATGGCGCAATATCAATTGTGTTAAGCAAGCAAACTGTTTATACCGGGGCAGAGCAAGTAGGTCAACCACGTGCAGCCAGTCCGGATGAGCTACTTTGTTTTGCCCGCGATATTTATTACGGCTTCTACTTTTAACAGTATGTGCTTTGGCACCCTCATTGCCCCAATATGTCTCTGTCAAAAAAGAGAAAAGTGGACGCAGAGTGCAGAGTGTTCCAAGAAAAATGGTCATCCTCCTATTTCTTCACGGAATTGAATGGGAAAGCTGTATGTTTGGTGTGTTCACAGCATGTTGCAGTGCTGAAAGAATATAACCTTCGTCGCCACTATGTGAGTCTTCATGCCGACAAATATGACAACTTTCAAGGACAGCGGAGAAGAGAGAAGGTGAATGAACTGTTGGCGGGTCTGAAGAAACAGCAGTCTGTGTTTACTCACAGCCGAGACATCAGTGATGCTGCAGTGAAAGCTAGCTACCTCATTGCTAATGAAATCGCAGTGGCTTCAAAACCATTTAGTGAGGGTGAATTTGTAAAAACATGCATGATGAAGGCAGCGGAGATTGTGTGCCCTGAAAAGCGTCAGGCTTTTCAGCCTGACAAGAAACACAGTTGCAGACAGGATTTCCGAGTGGATTTTCAGTGGATTTGGACAGCCAGTTGAAGCAAAAAGTAAAGTCATTTATTGGGTTTTCGGTTGCAATTGATGAAAGCACGGACATTACAGATGTTGCACAACTGGCCATTTTCATCCGCGGAGTTGATGACACATTGACCGTCACTGAGGAGTTCGTGGAGTTGGTGCCGATGACAGATACAACGACAGCAGCTGATATTTTTACCGCACTCGTCGGCGCGCTGGACAGGGTCGGAGTGGACTGGTCCCGCGCTGTCAGCCTGGCTACAGATGGTGCGCCCTCAATGATCGGGAAAAAAGCAGGCGTTGTGACAAAGTTCAGAGAGAAAGTGCAATCTGCAAATGGAGTACGTGATTTTTTGACTTTTCACTGTATTTTGCACCAGGAGGCTTTGTGTTGCAAGTCATTAAAGATGGATAACGTCATGAAGGTGGTCATCCAAACTGTTAATTTCATCCGATCCAGAAGCCTGAATCACCGTCAGTTTGACAGCCTTCTCAGAGAGAAAGACCACATCTATGGCCTGCCATACCACACTGAGGTAAGATGGTTAAGCCGAGGTGCTGTGCTGAGGCGTTTCTTTGATTTACGAGAAGAAACTGAACAGTTCATGGAAGAAAAGGGCAAACCAGTGTTAGAATTTCATTCCGCAGAATGGATGCAGGACCTTGCATTCATGGTGGATGTTACAGAGCACCTGAATAACTTGAACAAACAGCTGCAAGGGCGCAACAAAGTTGTCACGCAGTATTATGACAGCATACGTTCTTTCAAGTTGAAGCTGTCATTGTGGGAGACGCAACTCGCTGGTGGTGATGCAGCTCACTTCCCCTGTCTGAAAAATGTGTGCGCGACCCAACATGTGGCAGACATGAAGCGGTTCAAAGATAAAATAACGGGACTGTTAGGGGAGTTTGAGCAACACTTTCAGATTTTTGGTGAACTGGAGAAAGACTTCAACGTTTTTTGCTCGCCATTCACCGTGAATCCCTCTGATCTGCCCGTCAGCATCCAACTTGAAATAATAGACTTGCAGTGTGACTCGGATTTGAAGGGCAAATTTGCCGCAGCTGGCTTGGACACATTTTATCAGAATCTCTTGCCAGGTTACCCCAACTTGACAGCCCTTGCTGCAAAACTGTTGTGCATGTTTGGAACCACATATCTTTGTGAGCAAGTTTTCTCTGTAATGAGCATAAATAAAACAAAGCTGCGCTCAAGGCTCACGCACAAGCACTTGAATCACATCCTGAAGTTGGCTGCCACTCAGGATGTGACGCCTGATATTGATGCGCTGGTGAAAGCTAAAAGATGCCAGGTATCAGGAGTCAAATAAACTATGCAACCCCACTTAAAGTGCTGCATGAGACACCCTGATATAGTTCAGTGATCTGTGATATACTTCTGTGAATCACTGAGGCATTGTGTGTTTGTGTGTTCTTTGTCCTCAGAACTTTCAAATAACTTGAGGTGTTTTATGATTAATAGTGATGTTGTGCTTTTGGACACACTGTCCTCAGGCTCCAGCTTTATGTTTATATGTTTTTATGTTGATGTGCTATTGTTTTTAATTTATTTTATTTTATTTGTATATTTAACCTATTCTTGACTCTGTGGTTCTTGCACTTGTTTGGGGAACAGGATTTCATTATTTTTATCTACATTTCTGCCTAAGAAATGACACCCTGATATAGTTCTGTGATCTGTGAAACAGTTCTGTTAATCACTGAGGCATTGTGTGTTTGTGTGTTCTTTTTCTTTAGAATTTTCTAATAAACTTGACGTGTTTTATGATCAATAGTGATGTTGTGCTTGTACTATTTTGGACACACTGTCCTCAGGCTCCAGCTTTATGTTTTATGTTGATCGTATTAAAACAAAGAAAACAATCTGAAGTTGTTGTTTTTAAGTTATATATACCATGATTTTTCCGGTCCGGCCCACTTGGGAATAGATTTTCCTCCATGTGGCCCCTGAGCTAAAATGAGTTTGACACACCTGGTCTAGATGCAAAATGTATAGGCATGTTGTTGAAGTGCTTTTGTTGAGGTGTTGTTAAAATGCTGAGCGCGCCTGCCAGCCTGTAGCGGTCACAAATGCGTCACCATTTTTTTCTTAAATGGCAGGCTATAGCCTTGAAATAATAATAATATAGCTTAAATAATTCATTTTGGTTCCTTCATAGGCTACCTGGCTTGCTCCTGACTGATTTAGAGTAAGTATGTAATAACCTGTTGAAATGTTGAACGTCAATTGATAGTGACAGAATTACACATTACTTCCCAAGCAAAGTATATATTGTTTTGCCTCCTTGGCAAAGGTTGTAGCGCAGCCTCTGAATGTCATAGAAACAAACCAAATATATCACATATGCATCGGAGTCACGTCGTTCCCCGGCATTTTACAACTTGTTTCTAACATAAAGCATACTGGACTAAAGGCGTCCTTATAGATAGCTTTATATAATCAGGTCCATTACATTTTTTCAGACTATCATTTTGTCTATCAAACAGGTAGGCCTGTTCTTGAATAGGAATAAATATGGTCATGAGACCCAGCCTCCTTCCACCATTGTCACGGTGATAACAGAAAAGAATGGCCTTGAGACCAAAGATGGTGGATAAATGAAGATAGTTCACTCAGGCCATTTACCATTGTCTGCTTAAGGGGGTGGCTGTCCCATAGACACCAAACAGAAAACATTAGGGAGTGGGATGTTTCGCTTCCTCTTCCGTCTCTGCTTGAGACTACAGAATGCTGAGTCACAATGACAAGGCAGAAATACAGCCAGGGCATAGCCTGAGTCAGTCCACACTGTAGTAGAACAAACAGGAGGCTATGACAGGAAAAATAGTGGGATGGAGGGAGAGAAATAGGGAGAGGGGGGAAAAGTACAGACTAAAAACATTGTGTCACCCTTCAGAACTGAAATAGAAAGAGTTTTTTAATGGTTAATCATTTACTGTATTGGTATCACTTCTGTTTATAACTTTGTGCGGCTGGTCACATGATGGACCTGGTTGTGACTTTAACAACTTAACACAGGTCCCCAGGGTTTTAATGCTATGTTTGCCCTTCTGCTAAAACAAGGTCACTTTGAATAAGTGAGGGTTGCTGCTGACTATCAACAGTTCATAAGGGTTGCTGCTGACTATGCACTCACTAACTGTAAGTCGCTCTGGATAAGATCGTCTGCTAAATGACAACAACAAAAAACATTAAATAAAAAACATTGATTTGTGAGTGTATACATCATCTGTGCTTTAGGTCATGCGTATGAGTGAGATCATCATCAAATGATCCGCCTATTTCCTTTTGAAATTCTAAACGTGTTTGGCTGCGCTCTGTGAGGCTCGATTTCACTGACGCATTCCGTTTGGAACAATAAATAGAGCGAACAAGGCTTCTTCACCTCCACATCTCTGGGAAGACGCATGAAGAAGTTCTTGCTTCAACAGTGATTGAACGGGACTCTTCTGCCGGATTGAAAACGTAACACTTGCTTGAATTCTAATAGCAACATAGTCTAAGAAACTCTATTTTTGTACTGTTCATTTTGATACAAAATAAGAAAATCTGCCAAAATGGAGTCTCAGATCCGTCAGAACTACCACAGCGATTGCGAAGCTGCCATCAACCGGATGATCAACTTGGAGATGTTTGCCTCTTACACCTACACTTCAATGGTAAGGAGACTACAATTGGCTACCAAGAGGACCATTTTCTTGCTCTACGCAGTATTGTGTATTGCGCCTGGGTCTAAACGTTATTTTATTCTGACCTGTCTGTAGGCCTAGGCAATAGCCAAGTAAAACTGAACTCTGGAGTACACCCTTACGAAAAAAGATTGCAGTGCAATACACTGCTCTTACTGCGTCTAAAATACCACAGTCGAGAGCAGTTACTGCACTTTTACTGCAGTTTAAAACTTGGGATCTTTTTTGTAAACTTTGTGTGGTTGCGTTTTAGTTGGCTAGACAATTATCAACCTTGAGGTAGACCTATCCATTCAAATTAAACTGAGATCTATCCTAGGACGGAGTGTAACATATTGGCAGGTTACCAAGTAGGCTAATGACTTCTCGGATCGTATTGCTGTGTTAGTCATGCTTAGTTGCCACAACAAGAACGGAATGCTGAGTCATGTTTGGCATGTTTTTTTCTAACCACACTATTTTGTCTATCCACCCAGGCTTTCTATTTCTCCCGTGACGATGTGGCTCTGCCTGGCTTCGCTCATTTCTTCAAGGAGAACAGCGACGAGGAGCGCGAGCACGCCGACAAGCTGCTCTCCTTCCAGAACAAAAGAGGTGGACGCATTGTCCTTCAGGACATCAAGGTGAGTGTTGAAACACTAATTTACATTGTAGACTGTTAGAAGGGCAAAAAGTGTTCTTCAACTTCTACATAGAGGGTTGTCTGAAATCTTCTCTCTGGTAGAAAGAATCCTTTAATAACAAGATCTCAGTTGAAAAGGTTTTACCAGGAACCAAATGGTGAATCTAGAATCTATAGGGACAAGCTGATGAACCCTCTATGGCTCTAGATGTAACTTTCTTTCTAATACTGTAGACTTGATGTATTGGCGTCATTGTTTTGAGTGAGTATTCGTGTTAATGCAGAGTTCATTGTAAGGCACGCCCTATGTAGCTGCCCTGGTATTACAGCAAGGTGCTCAGATGAGAAATGGCCTGACTGCGTATGTCTAAACGCACTGCCTCCATAACCACTGAATTAAAACAGCCTGAGGGGTATAACTATCCAGACTCTGCCAATGTTAATATATAGGCTTACTCCATTTAGGAGGTGCTTTTTTTCCAAAGCGACTTAGTCATGCGTCTATACATTTTACATATAGGTAGCCCCAGCAGGAAGTGAACCCATGCCCTTTGGCGTTGCAAGTGTAACCGGTGTGAAATGGCTAGCTAGTTAGCGGTGCGCGCTAGTAGCATTTCAATCGGTGACGTCACTCGCTCTGAGACCTTGAAGTAGTTGTTTCCCTTGCTCTGCAAGGGCCGCGGCTTTTGTGGAGCGACGGGTAACGGTGCTTCGAGGGTGACTGTTGTCCATGTGTGCAGAGGGTCCCTGGTTCAAGCCCAGGTAGGGGTGAGGAGAGGGACGGAAGCAACACTGTTACACAAGCGCCATGCTCTACCGACTGAGCCACACCGGACCCATGATTTGTGCATCATAAACTCAAGCATGTGGTTTTTCGTATTGACTGTGTTAACTTGACCCCATCTTCACTTTTTGCTTCATTGGTTCCAGTTTGTTTTAGCCCCCTATGTGCCAGATATACTGGCTAACTGTGGTGACTGTTAGTAGGTATACATAGGAATGTCTGCTAGTAGTCCCTAACCCTCCTGTGTTCCCTCTGTCCTGTGTAGAAGCCAGATCGTGATGAGTGGGGCAATGGCCTGGAGGCCATGCAGTTTGCTCTGCAGCTGGAGAAGACAGTCAACCAGGCCCTGCTGGACCTGCACAAGATTGCCTCCAACAAGGTCGACCCTCATGTAAGTAATGTCCCCCATGTGATGGTGGAACCACACACATTAATGTACATCACATAGAATACTGCCACTGTACTGTCCCAGGAGCTGATCAGGTTGTTGTAGCTCTGCTAACTAATGACACAGGCTTGTGTGACCTGCCTCTTCACCCAAACACATTAGCCCACAGACGTACAAGAATGCACACTATACAAAAAATGCAGCTAATGCATAAGTTGGACAGCTGCAAACACCTCATTGAGTTAGTTATCTGCCCTTATGTCATTACCACCAGGCTCCTGTGTTACTGCATCTACAGTAGTGGCTGTAGTCATTCTCTTGTCTGACCTGTGTTTTCCTTCTTTAGCTGTGTGACTTCCTGGAGTCCCACTACCTGAATGAACAGGTGGAGGCCATTAAGAAGCTGGGCGACCACGTCACCAACCTCACTAAGATGGATGCTGTCAAAAACAAGATGGCCGAGTACCTGTTTGACAAGCACACCCTGGGAGGCCAGAGCTAAACCACATCCAGGCTACAGCCTCCAGCCTCATACAAGGACTCCTGGATTTTCTGCTGCCTTTGCATCTATAAGGAGGAGAAGGTGTTGAGCTGGGACAGAGCAATGCAGCTGTTACATTTGACTACACTCTACTAGGTTTGGGAGGCAAGGCATGTGAAACGAATGAGTAAATAGGTCACAAAACTATTGCTGTGGAGTAATGGATGTTGTATCAGTTTATTCTGGTGCTTTGTTTAATACCCAACACAAGTGTACTTTTCACTAAGTATAACTGGTCATTTCAATCTGCCCTGAATCTGAAGAATAAAACATTTTGAGCTGGATTGACTGTTCGTTTAATGCAAATGCTTGTTGCCATGAGCCCAAAGCGTACTTCATGAGTGTGTATTTTTTTTCTTCATAGAAATGATAAATTGTAGGCCTACTACAGTGACTGAGGGTCATATTTATGGGGAAAGGTTGACATGAGGTTTAAGGGACACTCCCTCTGATGACCACATAGGGGCGCCATTACATATCGTCATAGTTTGTTAATACAGGGCCCTTAAAAAAACCGTCAACCACGGTAACCACATTTACTAGAGCACCTATTGGTCTGTGGAAACGTATGTTACATGCATTAAACAATTTGACAACTATATATTTACATGATACCAGATATCCTTTGAAATTGGCTATCCATAACTTGGGCTCTTTACCCAATTCATTGGTTACCACAGTCTGAAGATGAACCATGACAAACAGTAAGGATGACCATAGACCAAGGAAAAAAAGCCCAGACTGACAAATGGCCTTTAAAGTAGTTTTGTTCTCTTTCAAAGCAATGGATTGTAGTTTCCAGGCATTGCACGCGATAAATAATAGCCAAACCGATGGGGATGGAAAGCTTAATTTGAGTGAAGTCGGGTTTTGGTGTTTCACATGCGTTTCAAGTGAGGGAGAGCAATGGTGACCAATGGATTATAACGTGGATGGTAAGTAGTTGGCACGGCGAGATTAACGGACAGGGGGAGGGAGAAAGAGCGACGATAGAGTGGGTGGTGCGCAGCGCAACAGTTCTCTCCAACACGGAGTCCACAATTCATCGTTTTTAACAAAAGGAATACGTTTGGGTTTAAATTGGGGATTTCAATCGGGTGAGTTCTGTTGGTGTATGTTCGCGGCGTAGCCTATACTCCACTGCATTTTAAAAGTGTATAATTAGATGGCCTAGAGGTCATTCAAACCCTTGCTATGTTCGGTAAATCCGCAAGCGAGCGGTTATGGCGCATGGGACGTCCGGGGTTACCGGTTGATGGGCACAATATTTGCCATATTTGATTAATATATTTCTTAAAACGGACACGCTACAGCTTCTTTGACTTAATACTTGAGTAGCCTACCATTCACATTCTATTCCATTTTCTGAGCCATAGGCCTATCCAAGCCTTTACGCATAATATGCTTAGCCGTTTCCACTGGTCCAAAGTTGGCAACACTTCTTTAATTGGATTGATAATGTATTTTTATCCCAGTTTACTTTCACTAGGTGAAAAACAACTCTGAACAATTATTTTACCGTAGCTACCTCTGATTTTGTCTGCATATATCTAATGTCCACCCCCTACCCCCTCCAAAGCTCCATGCGTGCGTGACAACCAGCCAATATGAAATATTGAAGTTGGCGCTTATTTTGGGTTTTAATAATTGTGGACGTGTACATTTGTGTCTTGTGCCATGTTTGCTTGGTAAGCCGTTAAATCCTGTAGTTGTATCTGTTAGTGGGGGCAAAAGCACCAAATTAGAGGAGATGTACTGCTATGATGTTGGATACAGTTTGCACCATGCATGCACTGTGCACGAGGCAGGCTTGATGATGATGACAATGGTGATGATGAAGATGAGACAGTGCATTCCAGTTTCAGATGGTCAACTTCTATTTTATTTCACTGACTTGCACAAAAGAGAGGGCCATACAGTCAGCCATAAACATCCTGACCATAATGGAACTGTCTTAGATCACCACATAGCTACTAAGCCTTGAACCCTCTCAAAATCCCACTGCCAGCTGTTCACCTCTCCTGTCATCTCTCTAACAAAACTAGTAGGCTACTCTGTCCTCAGTTTCCATGTTTGTACCTACTTATTTGGCATTATCTGGTCTGTTCTCCCATGGAAATATGACCCAAATCACCAATCCCAAAACATTAAAAAATATATTTTACATGTGATAAGGCCAAACATAGGGTCAGAGAATTAGATGCCTGTGATAATCTGAAGTACCCAAAAAGGCCACTAGATGTAATCTGAAAAATGTCCATACTCCTGAATTTACCAACATCTTCAGTAATATACTCTCCCGTTGTATTTGTTATGGAGCCCTATTAGCTGCTGTCAAGGCAGCAGTTACTCTTCCTGGGGTCCAGCAAAATTAAGACAGTTATATACAATAAAAACGAGATTACAATTAAAAACAGATTTCACAACACATTAAGTGTTTGCCCTCAGGCCACTACTCTACTACCACATCTTCACAGTTTTTAAAATCTGATTTTACTGCTTGCATGAGTTACTTGATTTTGAATTGAGTTCCATGTAGTCATGGCTCTATGTAGTACTGTGCAGAGACCTCTGGTGGCATGTCTTGTGAGGTATGCATGGGTTTTTGAGTTGTCTGAGTTGTGTGCTAGTAGTTTAAACCGACAGCTCGGTGCATTCAACATATACTCACAAACACAAGTAGTGATGAAGTCAATCTCTCCTCTACTTTGAGCCATGAGAGATTGACACGCATAATATTAATGTTAGCTCTCTGTGTACATTTAAGGGCCAGCCGTGCTGCCCGGTTCTGGGCCAATTGTAATTTTCCTAAGTCCCTCTTTGTGGCACCTGACCACACGACTGGACAGTAGTCTAGGTGCGACAAAACAATGGCCTGTAGAACCTGTGATAAGAAGGCAGAGCAGTGCTTAATTATGGACAGATGTCTCCCCATCTTAGCTACTGTTGTATCAATATGTTTTGACCATGCCAGTTTACAATCCAGGGTAACTCCAAGAAGTTTAGTCTCCTCAACTTGTTAAATTTGCACATTATTCATTACAATATTTAGTTAAGGTTTAGGGTTTTGTTTTAATTTCATGTCCCAAATACAATGCCTTTAGTTTTTGAAATACATGTATTTAGGACTAACTTATTTCTTGCCACCCATTCTGAAACTGACTGCAGCTCTTAAGTGTTGCAGTGATTTCACCTGCTGTGGTAGCTTATGTGTATAGTGTTGAGTCATCAGTTTACATAGACACACAGACATTACTCAGGTCCAGTGGCAGGTCATTAGTAAAGATTGAACAAATATGGATCCTAAACAGATGCTCTGGGGAATGCCTGACTCTACCTAGATTATGTTGGAGAGGCTTCCATTAAAGAACACGGGTAACTCTAGATTCACAATATAGCAGGGGATGTAAAGCCATAACACTTACGTTCTTTCCAGCAGCAGATTATGATCAATAATGTCAAAAGCTCCACTGAAGTCTAACAAAACAGCTCCCACAATCTTTTTATTATCAATTTCTCTCAGCCAATCATCAGTAATTTGTGTAAATGCTGTACATGTTGAATGCCCTTCCCTATAAGCGTGCTGAAAATCTGTTGTTAATTTGTTTACTGTGAAATAGTTTACTAAGGGTTGGTAACAGGCTGATTGGTCGGCCGTTTGAGCCAGTAAGGGTTGCTTTGCTATTCTTGGGTAGTGTAATGACTTTTGCTTCCCTCCAGGGCTGAGGGCGCACACTTTCCTGTAGGGTTAGATTGAAGAGATGGCAAATAGGAGTTGCAATATCGTCCGTCCGCTGTCATCCTCAGTAATCTTCCATCCAAGTTGTCAGACCCAGGTGGCTTGTCATTGTTAATAGACAAGTTTTTCACCTCTTCCACACTCACTTTACGGAATTCAAAATGTCAACGCTTGTCTTTCATAATTTGATCAGTACGCATGCATGGATGTGTAGGTTCAGAATTTGTTGTTGGCATGTCATACCCAAGTTTGCTAATCTTGCCAATGAAAAAATAATTAAAGTAGTTGGCAATATCAGTGTGTTTCGTGATGAATGAGCCATCTGATTCAATGAATGATGGAGCGGAGTTCGCCTTTTTGCCCAAAATTTCATTTAAGGTGCTTCAAAGCTTTTTTACTATCATTCTTCATATCGTTGATCTTGGTTTCATAGTACAGTTTCTTCTTCTTTTTGTTCACATGATTTCTCAATTTTCTGTACAGTATGTTTGCCAATCAGCTGTGCAGCCAGGCTTATTTGCCATTCATTTTGCCTCATCCCTCTCAACCATACCATTTTCCAATTCCTCATCAATCCATGGGGATTTACAGTTTTTGCAGTCGTTTTCATAATGGATGCATGCTTATTAGTAACTGGAATAAGACATTTCATAAATGTGTCAAGTGCTGCATCTGGTTGCTCCTCATTACACACCACAGACCAGCAAATATTCTTTACATCTTCAACATAGGAATCACTGCCTTTGCAACCCTAAGGTGTCATTTTTTAGTGAGACTGTAAAAGAATGCTTTAAAAAATGTACATTTGTAGATTGCAAGGCATACAAATACCATTATTTCTTGGTACATTTGAAACAAGGTCTAGGTTGGCCGCAACCGGACTAGATTGTGAATGAGTCTTGGCGGAATGCATTGCTTTACTGCCGTTAAGGTGATAAGCAGAGTATTGTTCGAGCTGCAGCACCCCAAACGATTCGTTCTCAAATTTGTTGAGCAGAGGCTGTTTATGTTTTGGTTCTACAAAACTGTGTCCATCATAACGTTCAATAATCAATTAATTTCATTCATTCTTGCACCATGCGATCATTTATCAGTTATATCAGTTTTTCTTCTCTATGCTGCCTGCAGCATGATCTGTTTTGCCTGAGTGCATATGACAGACAGTTGTTTTTTGTTGTTGTTGTTTTTTTACTTTTTGGGGGGTAGATCAGCTTAATATTGCAGATAGATTGTAACTTCCATCAATGTAATTGTCTGCATCACTTCCAATCCCCAATGTTTTTATATATATGCAGTTGGGAGAACAAGTATTTGATACACTGCCGATTTTGCAGGTTTTTTCTACTTACAAAGCATGTAGAGGTCTGTAATTTTTATCATAGGTACACTTCAACTGTGAGAGACGAAATCAAAAATCATGCATGACATCAGTATTTGATCACCTACCAACCAGTAAGAATTCCGTCTCTCACAGACCTGTTCGTTTTTCTTTAAGAAGCCCTCCTGTTCTCCACTCATTACCTGTATTAACTGCACCTGTTTGAACTCGTTACCTGTAT